TCTAATTAACAAATTTTGTTTTTTAAAATAATATATTTTTTAATGATAAATTAATGTACAAAAAAATATTATAATCAGGTAATGTTATTAAAAGTAAAAAAACAAAATTGAAATTTATTAGATAATTATTAATTAAAAAATGTGATTACAAATTAAAAAATTAAAATAAATAAACTTATCAATAAAATTAAAAAATTTTAATCCATTAGTAATTTGGTACAAAAAGTTACATATCCCGTTTGGTATAACTTCTGAGATTCAGTATTAATTGAGTCGTCGTTTCGTTTCCTTTCCTCCAAATGAAGATGATAAAGTAAAAGTGTAAAACGTCTGCAGAAGAAATCTCTCATTTCCCAAATCAACAAAAATTTTGTTAAACAATAATAATAAGAATCAAACTTACCATCACGAGGATCAGTCACTTCTGCTACGATGTAAAGTTGGACAAAAACAATCATAAGAAAAAGCCACTGAATTCCTGGTTCCATTTTTTGAACAGAATAAACAGAAAAAGCTTAGAGCAACATTGAATTGTTCAGCCGTTTACGGCAACGTCGGAGTCATCGTCGGTCCTTTTCTTTCTGTCGCTGTATGTGCTTCATATATTTCAACTATTAACATATCAGAGTAAAAATATGAGGCGCACACACACACACATTGAATTGTTCAGCCGTTTACAGTAACCTCAGAGTCATTGTCGGTCCTTTCCTTTCTGTCGCTGTATGTGCTTCATATATTTCAACTATTAACATATCAGAGTAAAAATATGAGGGAGACTTTCGGCAACCTCGGTCCTTTTCTTTCCGTCTCTGTATGTGCTTCATATATTTCAACTATTAACATATCAGAGTAAAAATATGAGGGAGACTTTCAACACACACACATGAGGGAGACTGTCGGCAACCTCGGTCCTTTTCTTTCTGTCGCTGTATGTGCTTCATATGTTTCAACTATTAACATATCAGAGTGGAGACTTTCAACACACACACATATGAGGGAGACTTTCGGCAACCTTGGTCCTTTTCTTTCTGTCGCTGTATGTGCTTCATATGTTTCAACTATTAACATATCAGAGTGGAGACTTTCAACACACACACACATATTTCAACTATTAACATGTCAGAGTGAAGACTTTCAACACACACACGCACACGCACGCACGCACATACACACATATTTCAACTATTAACATATCATAGTGGAGATTTTCAACACACACACACGCACGCACGCACATACACAC